CCTCAGTGGTTCTAACAATCAGTTTCTTGTCCAGCTCATCGTCCATGTGGGAGTCTCAGGGATGGCCACCACTGTGACGCTGGAGAAGTGCGGCAGAAATCACGGCTACAAAGGCCTGGACAACAGCAGCTTCTGTCCAGACTCGCAGTGTTGCATTGTGGGAGGCCCAGACTGTATCAACTCAGTTATTGACATGGAGTCGGTCTGCAAGAGAGTGACTGCGACGGCCGGACTGGGAGTCGCTGTGACCGTCTCCAAAGATGCTGGAAGGTGAAGCGGATGTTTGTTCTCGTTTTGTTTCTTCTGTGTCTCCGTCGGAGCTGGTGGAGAAATCAGAACATGGACTCAAGTAAGAGTAAAACCACTGTTTTTACTCAAGTAAAAGTAAAAAGCAGCCAATAGAGAAATTAATACAAAAGTTAAAAAGTATTGATTTAAAATTTAAAGCTCATTGTCGGATGGATCACAATATAAAGTTATGTGGAAATGTTGGTATTTTAAGGGCCAGAATGAAAATAATCCATGTAAATAATATAATTACAAAATAACAAAATCAAACAAAGGAAGAGAAACTCTGTTTCTTTAAATATAAAACTTATGAAACCTGCAGGTCTGTTTCTGTTTCTGGTGGATTTTTGGTTATTTTTTGTTTTTCATTCAGTGGGAAGAAAATCCAGACATTTTACTCAAGTGAGAGTAAAAATACTTCTAAAAGTATATAGATATATATTTTTAAAAAAAGGTTACTCAAGTAAATGTAACTAGTTCCTACCTGACTCTGGTTTCCATCAACAGTTTTTCTTTTTTTGAAAGTTTGCATTAGAAAAGGTTGATGAAAACATCAAAATCTTTGAAATGCCTTGTTGCTGAAAGGTGCTATAGAAATACAATTTGATTGATTGATTCAAAATTCAAAATACTTTCCTCAATTTTTTTTATTGAAAGAAACTGACATGGAAAAATTTTCTTTTGCCTGTCTTTGTTATTTTTTATTTATATAAATTATTGTCAATTTGGTCCTTAAAACACCAACATTTCCTCTTAACTTATACTTTTGTTCATCTGATTATGTACTTATTAAATATTAAATGATTGATAATTGTTACTTTTCAGACTTTTTACTCTTACTTGAGTAAAAATATGTTGAAGTAGTTCTACCCTTACTTTGGTGTAACTTTGGGTTCTCTGCCCTCTGCTGATATGAAACATTTATATCGTGATACAATTTTCAATCATATCGTCCAGCCCTGTAGATTCAAGAATAATTGTTTTAGCAGCAAAACGAAATAAAGGCGTTATGAAAACCCATTGTGACTAGAGATCGCCGTAGCAGATCAGTAGTGGAGGAAGAAGCCCTGTTTGGTATCGAGAGGATCCTGGTTTGAATCGTGGCGTTTGCATGTTGGATTTTCTCTTGATACTCCAGTTTATTTCTTGTTTGAGTAATTATTGGTGTAGTAAAATCAATGCAGCATTAATCTCTCTTGGTTTCATAGTAATTATGATTTAAAAGCCAAGTACTGGTTCTACAAACCTTCATTAAAATGTGTAACTGGAGCAGATTTTAAGTGATTTCACTCTGACTCCATGTAAAATGTGTTGCAGCAACAAAAATAGGCCGTCTTGAATAAAAGTGTGACCTTTGCTTCTGTTCCTGTGATCACACTTCAGCAGAGTCGCTACAAACCCAAAGGAAAACCTTGAATGGATCTGAGCAGCAGCAGCGACTCGCCTGCTCTATTTATACCCAGAATCTGTGAACGAGCCACTGTGAATGATGGGAGTTTACTGGTTTTAATTTGCATCATTTCAACAAAATAATCACTTCAACCCTTTGAGTCTAAGTTTCAAATCTCCGCCTGGATATTTTTGCTTATTTTAATTTTGCAAAGTTCTTTAAATATCCTGTGAGTAAATATATATTTACCCATTTATCCATAAAACTGGAACATTCAATATCTAACTAATTATTTTTGCAGTTTACCGTCTATTAAAAGATTATCTTATCAGATTAATTTCACTCCCTGCTACAGTGGGGGTGAAATTACCGTAATGCAAAATGTATATATTTTTGTTCAGTTTTGACTTAAATTCTGCTTTACATGTTGTTCTTTCAGTAATTGGTTTTTCTTTGACTCCACTTAATCATTAATCAATTACTAAATAAATAAATAAATAGAAGCAAAAAAAATAATGTGAGTTATTAAGTTTCTGTAAACAAAACTGTCCTTCAAAATAAAGGCCAGTTGAGACCAAATCACCAAACTTTTATCATCCAGTTCTTGGTAGAAAAGGAGAAAAAGGATAAATTATGCAAGTCAAAGTTATTGAGTTTGTTTAATTTACCGTGCGATGAATTGATTTATTGTTTATCGCGACAGGCCCGGCTGCTTCCAGTTCAATTTCTGGTTTAATCGAATCTCTTCCTTCGTCCCATTTTCTGCTCTTTGCTCAGGTATCTCTGCGACTTCACCTACTACACGTCTCTGTACCTGAGCCGCGGCCGCTCCGCCTTCATCCACGTGCCTCCTCTGGGAAAGCCTTACAGCGGGGAGGAGCTGGGCCGCGCGCTGCAGGCCATCATCAGGGAGATGCTGGAGCTGCTGGACCAGGCGGAGGACCAGATCCGCTGCCAGCAGCACATCCACTAAGTGACCTCCCTGCAGCGTCTCCAGCCCAGCCACACAAGAGTAATTGCACTTGACCACAAGTAGCCAAAACTTCCTTTTCTTGTTGTTTTTTTTTGCTCTTGTTTACTGAACTTTTGAGATTTGGCTTTTTTTTTATATCACTATATATGTTTCTGTTTTACCTTCGTCACTTCATGTCTCCCAGCGGTGAGAGGATAAAACGGGAGACTAAAGGCGACATTTAAGTTTAAAATCTGATTTAAAAGAGATACACAAAAGCAAATCGCTGCTTTTGTTTTATATTTGGTCACAAGTGGAGATACAAAGAGTCTGTGATGTGACGTTAAATACGATCTAAAGCCCAAATGTGACTCCTATTAATGCACCTTATAGGGTTAGGGTTACTGTGATGGCTGTAGGGGACACATCTGGGAATCTGTAGCACCAGATCAAGATTTTTTTGCTTTTTTTTTTTACATGTTCAATTGCTAAATACCTAGAAGATGTCCATGTATATAACACAACATGGTTTAAGTAGAAATGTTTAGCTGTAAGCTTCGTTCTCCGCCACCTTTTGAACTCATCCGTCTTCTTTCCCTTTTGGTGTTGAATTGTTTCCGAGTCGGTTTTCTTTATAAGAAGTTGTGAATTTGCCTTCCTTTACAAAGGTTATTTAAATCAGGGAACGGGTTGGTTCCAGCTCATACTTCCCCAGTTTGTCGGCCCAGTTCTGACAGAAATAAATAAATCTGCCCCGCTGAGATCTGACCCCGGACTGTGCAATGAAACTTTACGGATCTCGTTCACTGGAAACCTTCTCAAAGTCCGTCAGGATTTTATTACGGCTGCACACCTGTTCACAAAATGCTCAAGTTTTTAAGTTTCCTGGCAGAAATTAAAAATAAATTATTTATTTTAAGGTTAGTAAACAAAGAAAATACTGGAAAATGTTTGTTTCTCCCATTTTAGTGTTTCAGATCAGAGGAGAATCTGAGTCAAAGATTCAAATTTAATTTCTGAAAGAAACATTCTGGCCCTTTGGAAATTCACTTTTCATTCATAAACAGTTTGGTTTTTCTTTTTTTTCCCCTTTTAAAAATCACTATAAGTAACTTAAAAACAGCATTTTGTTTTTACAGAGTTTCTATTCATCTGATATTCAGTTTAGTTTGATATCGTGAAACATTTAAGTGTGACAAAAGCAAAAATATTGAAAAAGTGTAGGGTATAAAAAGTATTCACCCCTTGGATGTTTTATTGCTGCTTTAACAAATCAGTCATAAAAAGCAACATTTGTGTTTTTTTCACTTTGTAATAATATGAATCTTTTTTTTAATTGTCTTTATTTTAACAAAATCAGTTTTTCTTTTACATCTTTTTTGTTTTTCGTTTTTTTGTCAAAAAAGTCGAATTTTGTTGATCATGATTGATTTATAAAAGCTTTAAACGGAGTAAAACATCCAAGGAGGTGAATATTCCAGAATCAAAGCACTATTTTATATTTTAATGCAATAAAATCATGCTGGTGTAAAACCAGAACTACACGCCGATGCTACATTTCCATATAATTTCATGTTTTTTTTTTATTTAAACTCGAGATGCTTAGATATTTAAATTAATTGCATCTTAAACTCTTGATAAAAAAACTGCCAGCAGTTTGCAGCTCGAAGCCAAATGTAGTTTTTCTGTCTTGGTTGTGCAGCTTTTCCTTCCTAATCCAAACTGAGTCACATTTATTGTAGCTTCTTATTTTAAGTGACATGTTGACTTGCTGAGTTTTCAGTCAGAACTGGGCCTTTAACTTTATTTCTGTTGCACTTTCTGTTTTTTGTAAATTGGTTTAACCTGTTATGAAACAGCATTTGTCAAACAATGTGAATAGTTGCATGTTTTTTTTATCTTCATTTTCTGTCACTTTAAAACGAATCATGTAGCTTTCCACAACCATTTTAACTGGTTTTTTCTTTTCAACAATTATGAGATTTTTTAAAGATTTTTATCTTTCAGTGAATTTTACTTATTCTTTTTTATTATTATTGTTATTATTGTTATTATTATTCCAGAGCTTTGTGTTTTGTTTTGATTTGTTACATTAACAGGCTTCCCTTTTTGTTGTCTTGTTTCTTTTAATGCTAAGGACAGTTTAGAGCGCTTCACTTCTTTCAGTTTGCCTCAGCAGCTTTTTTTTTAATTTTTATAGCTAGACTTGTTCATGTTTTAACGTTGTTACACAGCTTGGATTCATTGAGTTTTAGTAAATTATCCCTAATTTTAACTCTGCCGTTTATATGTGGATCCAGGTAAGAGTTAATTGGATCGTGGAGCCACTTAAATTTCATCCTGTCATTGTGTTTAAAAATCTTTGCAGTGATTAAACCCTAGAGCACAGCTTTCTCCTGAGTTGTTGTAAATATTGGCAGGTTATTGTGTGGCTTTGTGAGGGTTGTGAAGAAAGCTGCCTGCAGATTTTCTGCCTCAAGCTAACCTTTGAGGTGACCTCTGACCCTCTCCTGTGCCTTGTTGCTGTTTGTGTCCTGAAAAAGGCCTTACTAATTCTCCGTGGGTCAGATTTGAGAAGTATTATTGATGCTGTCCGTACAGACGTGTGGCTACCTCACAAATACTGTTTTGGTTTTAATCTCAGTATGTGCTCAATTGTGCACCTACGTCGTTGCTCTGTCACATGTTGACGGTTCTCTGAAAGGTTTTCTTTGTGTTATTATGCACTGTTGCAGTCTTTAATCTCAATTTGTAAAAGAAAGGCTTTGAAATAAAGAAATTAAATGATAACATTAAATATCTTTCTGTTTCATTTTCTTACAACTCAGCAGTGATGCAGAATAAAAGCACTGATATTTATTTTAAGAATACATCTTGGAGAGTTTCTGAACATCAGCTTTCAAGTATTGGCACAGATTGAACCGATTTCTGGGCTTTTTGCCATTCAAACACAAATATACTTTGGGATAAACCAGGAAACAGGAAAGATTTGCAATAGCAGTCCATCTTGCCAGTAATCTGATGCCTCTGACTGAAGACTGGCGTTGTATGGCGACCGCATGACTCATGACATTCCAACAAGTCAATATTTGGACAGCAGAGACAATACTCTACAGTAGCATTTCCTGAATGACACCATCAGTTGTTGTTAGCAGTCACTGCTAATCCACCTCATTTGCTTTTTCTTTTCCTTATGTCTCTGTCTGGTGAAGAAATGTTGAAGTTGGGGATATGATCGATGGAAGAAATGGTTTGAACTTCATCCTTTTCTCTCTGGTCCATCAGCAAAGTCTCTTTTTCAAGTCCTCTGGTAAATCAGGTGTTATTTGAGCTTTAGAGATGCTAATCAGCTGCTCCCAGTTGTAAAAACACATTTGTTGCCACGGTTACACATTATAACTGTCAGAAAGTAAAATGGTTAAGGCAAAAATGATTCCATCTGCATCCAAATGTGTACTGCCATCTGAACAAAAGTTTATAAAAGCAATAAATCAAAATTAACGTAACAGAGCTACGGAACATGGTGTCACCACAAACCCAATTCTAGAAAATTAAATAAAAGAAGAAACATTTCTAAAAAATCACAGAGTGAACACTCTTTTTCAATAATCTGTCTGTGTTGTTCTCCCAATCCCCCCCCACCTCCCTTGGTTACGTCACACGTTGCGCGGCGCAGGGAAGTTCGTCACCGCCGCTGGGCTGTTGGTCCCGCTGAAGCTATCGAGGTTCTGATCGTTTCCATTTTTGTTTGGGTTCAAATTCGGACTCTTGGCGACGCTTTCTGAAAGATAAATCAACAAATAAACACTGCGCACTGTTTAGTTGTCTGTTACGAGCACCGGAAACAGCAGAGTAAAGCGAAAGTTAAGGGACGAAAATGAGTGTGGAGGCGTACGGGCCGAGCTCCCAGACCCTCACCTTCCTGGACACCGAAGAAGCGGAGCTGCTCGGAGCGGACACCCAGGGCTCCGAGTACGACTTCACTGACTTCACTCTTCCGAGCCAGACGCAAACACAAGGCCAGACCCAGAGCCAGTTGGACGGACAGGTTCGAGGCTTTCATTTTCAGCAGAAGGCGCGGTGCTGACGTTAGCTTGCCGCTGCTAGCCCGCTATTATTAAAACTACTAGCCTCCTTAGCTTAGCTTAAGCTAACGTTTGCTAAGACCGTTAAGTACACTCTTAAAGTTGCTCCAGTTGTCTCACATCCTTATTTCTGATAGCTAAATCAAAACAGAGTCACGGAAATGTCTCCAGTTGTTTGGGATGACAGTAGTTTCACCGTTGACAATCTGTCAACGTGTCCACATCCTCACTGTGCGCCTTCCTCAGCCGTTAGCTGGTCTGTTAGCACCGAGTTTGTCTCATAATGGTCGTCTCTACCACATGTTAGAGGCTAAAATACTATTCTCAAGCAGAAGAACAGCTTCTCTGCAGAAAGTTTACTGAATTATAAGTAAACATGTTAGGTGAAGCTCGTGTTGGGGTGAAAGTATAGTTAGCCGTAATGGCGCTTATGGAAAAAACGCATGTGGAAGGTGAAAATCACAGATAAAATGGACCAGTAATTTATTCCCTACGCATTCGACAGATCAATGGTCCTGATGAGGGTCTTCACAATGGAGGAATGGATGATTCTGTGGCCAAAACCAGCCAGTTGTTGGGCGAGCTCAACTTTGAGGAGGATGAAGAAGACACCTACTACACCAAAGATCTTCCAATACACGCATGCAGGTACCGTGAGATTAACCAGAACATGCTGGGGTGTTCTACTGCTCTGTTTTTCTCCATATTATTCCTCTAACACTGTGTCACCTAAACCCCAGACACATTTTATCATTCTAACTATGTTAAAGTAGCACCTTTCAGATGAACCTTCTGGTCTTTGATCATCCATCTGTTATTTTTGGTTATTTTGGGGTCAGGTTGTGGGCACTCAGCCCAGCTCCTCCAGGGGAATCCCCAGGCATTCCCAGATTAGAAACATAATCTCTCCAGCTTGTCCTGTTTTTTTCCTCTGGCGTCCATTGTCTGTGTACATATATTTTTAGTAGAATAACATGTTGAGTGATGCAGAGCTTTTCTTGTATTTAAGATATATCTGTGCAGCCTTAGTGGTGATGGAGACACAGGGGAATCCCTGAAGCACTTTAGATATGTGGCTCAAAATACTCATCTGGGAGTCTTTCCAGTTATTTGGAAATATAAACAAAAGCATCAGCTGATCAGAGGTGTTCTTTGTTGCATCTTGGTGTCACTGGATTCATTCTTCCAGCTTCTTTTAAGCAGTTTAAATGAAAATTGTCTTATATGACCTCTATGAATAGGGAGTATAAATAAGGCTAAAGTTTTGTAGGTTTTGGCTTTAAATTGTGCTGCAATGTAAGGAAATTAAAACTGATTCACAGAGGAAACTAGTCTTCCAAGTTGACTGGATATAGCATGATTTATATGATCTGTGGTCCAACATCACGCTTCTTTGTATAATAGCAAACATTTATGTATTTTATAAATCATTAAAGGTAAATTCTGTGTGTTATTTTTTTAACAATCATATAAATCAGAGCTGTTGTGTAAGCAGTCTGATCCTGGGAAGAAAAATGTATCGTTTCCTTCATTGGTAAATTATTTTTCATGGATGTAGCAGCTCCGCAGCTTCTCACCATCCTGCATTAGTGACATCTGCTTTATTGGAAACTATTTGTAACTTTACTCACTACTTTGTGCAGGTTTGTTTCAGACAAACACTCCTTTGTTTACAGTAATTTTTTCCTCTGTTCTGCATTTCCTGAAAGCACACACTGCTGTGATTTTGACTTGTGAATGACACAGTGCCCCATAATGGGACAATGTTTTCTGTTGAGCAGTGATCAGAGGGAGGCTGCTGTTGACCATTAATATTTTACTAAAGAGGGAAATCAGATAAATATATTTTTGTAAAGTTGTTTTGCAGGATCAATCCGTGGTTAGAATTTAAAATAATGTAATATTAAATGATGCAAAATGCTAAATATCTAGATTTCTGGGATGAAACATGTCTTTGTTTTGCAGCTACTGCGGTATCCATGACCCAGCGTGTGTGGTGTACTGCAACACCAGTAAGAAGTGGTTCTGTAACGGCCGTGGCAACACGTCTGGCAGGTCTGTGGTCTCATCTTCCTCTGATCATCACACCAGGACTGTGGATGAAAACAGTCA